CTGGGGAGCGCACAGCTGAGGACCAGGAACAAACGTGTGCACCAGGCCTGGCCCAGAGGAGCACCGGATTCAGGAGGGCGGCTCGGGGCCACTGCCAGGCATGGGAATGGCTGTATGTGATTCCAGACCTGAGCCTGACCTGAGGTTCCACCCTTCCCAGACCAAGGGGACACCCGTCTGCTTCGCTGGGGTCCAGGGTCCTCATGCAAACTGTGACGAGGATCCCATGAGAAAACGCCCAGGTCAGTACCCACTCAGGCAGCCAATAGGCAGTGTTTCTGCTTTCAGGACTGACGCACAGCAAGTGCCCACAGGATGCCCACATCCAGCTGGGAAACTTGATTTAAAACTTTCATTGAAAATCATTCCCCCCCTTTTTTTTTAACTTTCAAGGCTAATAGGATAAGCTTCAGTTGTCCAGAAAAGTTGCCTACGCGGAACAGCTCATTCCCCAAAGGAGCTGCAGGCTAAATGAGATGTCCTCTCCGTCTGAAAATTAAATACGTGAATTTATCTGGAGGGCAGCATCTGGGTCTTCCTCATCTTGCAGCTCCCTTCCCCTCTGCCCCCCTCGGTGCCTGGTCTGGTGGCTGGTGCATAACACACTGGATCAGTATCAGAGAGATGGAGAGAGAGGAGGGAAGAACGAGGAAGGATCGACAGATGGAAAACGGGTCCAACGCTACCGACATAGGAGTGCTGACAGTCTCCATCAAAATTTGTTTTTGAAAAATGGTATCTGTTCCTTATACATCGTTTCCCTTGAAGTTGGTGAAATGCAAAAAGTCCCTCTCTGCATTCCCTTCCTGCCCTCTCCCCTCCCCCATGTGGCAGCTTCCTTCCTTGCAGGGGTGATATGAGCTCTCCTTCCCTCTGGGCATGAGGAGGGGAGGCACGGGAGGGAGGAAGGAAGGGTGAGCAAGGGATGGGGCAGGAGAGTGGGTCTTTACTCTGAGAGCAAGGGGAACCACGGCAGGATTTAAGCAGGAAGGCAGAGGCTGGGTAAGCATTTTGGGAAGGCCCCTCTGGCAGTACATTTACCATCAAAGGGCACCAGGGTCCCCTCCCCGCCTCTCCTCCCCCCTTTTCCTAGTCCCTGAGCTCAGTGCTCCGTTGCACTTCCTGCGGAATCAGGAAACCCAATCAGGACCCCCTTCGCCTGGGGCTTTGTTTCACTGAATCGCCTGACCCAGCAGTTGTCTCGGTCTGGCTCCCCTATGGTGTCTTCTTTGAGCCAAATGCTTCCAGAAACATCTCCATATGTCCTCAGTGGAGGATATCAAAACACCCTTTCCCTCACTGCTGACAACGCAGTGGGTTGCACTCTCTGGCCTACAAGTCCTACAAAGAAACCCCCGATGACATAAATGAGAAAGGTGCTGGGGACTGTGACCATAAATCAGACCACAGGCCCCAGGGCTGAATGAAAAATTCTCAGGAACCCCCAGCACTGTTCTCTCCCTCGGAGGATATGTATCGAAACTGCGGGTTTGTTAGCTGCTGGGGGTGCCTCCAACCTTCCTCACCCCCCAACTTCCCGAGAGAGGAGCCCGTGGCCACAGGGTTGTCACGGCTCCCAGGACCTGGAGGTGTTTCTCAGAACAGGAAGACCCATTTGTCATCTTTTAATTCAAGAAAGGCTGATGGGAGAGAGTGGCAGGAGGAATGAGAAAAAGACAAATAGCTCTGGTCCAGGGTCAGGTCGAGATCAGTCTCACATTCCGTTTTGATGATTTTGTTCAAGGAGGAGCAGAGTGGGGGAGCATTTGTTGCCGCCCTTCTGTGTGGCCAGCCCTTAGCTCATGTGAGTGGTTAGGAGTTCCAGGTTCTTGATTCAGAAGGATTGTATGTAAGTTTGAAGAGCAGATCCACCCACCATGAGAATTTGGGTCAGTTATTTAATCCTAAAGGTCTCTGTTTCCTCATCTATAAAATGGGGATAACAACAGACCTTATCTTCCATGGTTGTTGTAAGGATTAAATGAAATAGTGTATGTTTTTAGCAAAATGTCTGGCACTTAATACATCTTCAATATATAATATTATCATCACCATCACCACCACCACCACTATCACCACCACCACCGCCACCACGACCACCATCTTCACTACCACCATCACCATCATCAGCACCACCATCACCACCACCACCACCATCACCATCACCACCACTACCATCATCACTATCATCACCACCACCACCATCATCATCACAT